TCCTATTGTGGTATAGAACCTTGTTCTAAAATGTAATAGAGATCCATACACTAAACTCGAGTTATTGTCTATGAACCAGACAAATAATTGTTTTTGTTAGGCCCTTTTTGGCCCCTATTTCCTAAACAGCTATGACAATAACCCCAAAATTAATCCCAACCTTCCTATTGTGGTGTGGAACATTGTGCTAAAATTTAATAGAGATATATGCACTTATACTCAAGTTATTGTCTTAAAACCAGACAAATAATTGTGTTTGGCCCCTTTCGGACCCCTAATTACAAATAAGCCAAACCCTCCTATTGTGGTATGGAACTTTGTGCTAAAATTTCATACAGATCCATACACTTATACTAAAGTTATTGTCTGCGAACCAATTTATTTTCTATGAACCAGTAAAACTGGCCTTTTTTTGCCCCTTATTACAAAACTGCTAGGACCATAGCCCTAAAAACTGGCCTTTTTTGGCCCCTTATTACAAAACTGCTAGGACCATAGCCCCAAAAACAATCCAAACCATCCTTTAGTGGTATGGAACCTTGTGCTAAAATTTCATAGAGATCCATACAATTATACTCAAGTTATTGTCTGCGAACCAAAATGTCTTCGAATACAAACGCAGACATCGCCATAACATAATACGGACGCAAAAAAATTATCGGTCGTATAAAAAATAGTTGGAAATGGCTTGACTCATTATCTCGACACAAAACACACAAAAAACAACTAACATAAAGACTTAAGACACAAGGGACCGATTTAAGACCACTCGTAGTTACTGAAAACTACTTCAAAGCCCATAACAAACAAAAGAAGATATTTCGGGCCGAATAAATCATGTTCTCCAAGACTAAAGTACCAATCAGTACAAATCCAGCAGATTCAGTGTAAAGAGTCATTAAAGACATTAACAGTCTGAGAAAGGCATGTCCTTGTGAAATGCCAAAATATTAATAAATAATATCGACAGGATGTAGGACCATAAGTTTTCATAAATGTAAAGCAATACTTATTTTAGTGTGTTTTAATTTAGGGCCATATAAGCTTTTGTCACCACTTTTAAGTCGTCTGTTGTCCGCCGTCCATTAACCTTTCTTTAAATTGATTGATTGGTGTTTAACGCCACATTCAAGACTATTGTGCCATTTCGTGGCGGTCAGTTTTTATTGGTGGATGAAGCCGGAGTGCCGGGGGAGAACACCGACCTTTGGTAGGAAATCTGACAATCCTAGTTAATTAAAATTGGAGTCGAGTGCACCTGTCACGTGCGGGATTCGAACTCACAACCTCAGTGTTGACAGGCTAGTGATACAGTAGTTTGACTAAGTGGATCACTCGACCACCGAGGACCCCATTTTCTTTTAAAATCATCAATATAACTGTTCATTGTATTATAACCAAAGGTTGTGATTTTAATCCAGGTTAACAACAAAGATGGCCGCTGTTATTAAATATAGAACATAGGTGTCAAACTAGTTTCGGCTAATATCTTGAAACTATAGCAAACTACGAAAAATAGTCAGCTTTATCAACCCTAAAATTTTTAGAAAATTTGTCCACCTGTTTTAGAGTTATTGCCCTTGAAATGTTGCTTTAAAAAAACGTGTTTGCATTTCTGGGCTATTGCTTTAAACACTACAGGGGCTAGGTTAAAAGTAAAATATGCAAAAGTAATAAGCATAACAAGTTCTATCTACCTGAAAAGTTTCAGAAAAATCTGAAGACCCTAAATGGTGTTATTGCCCCAGAAATGTAAGTTTTGTCAACTTTCACAGATTTTGACTGTTGTCTTAAAAAGAATAGGAGCTAGGTTAAAAGCGTATTTGATCTAAAGACACATCCTAGTCCTAATGCATCTTATATAAACAGGCCACATTTTATAGGTACCTATTTCTTTATAACATCATTCTTACATCTTAAAAAGTATCAACGTGTGTTTGTTTATTTAGTAGCTATGGATTCATATGGTCTGATACAGTATCCCAAGATCTATATATTATAGTCTGTTTGATACTTCAAATGTGTTCCTCAGTTTATAGAATATTAGTTAGTTGCCAAGTTGCAGATTAAATAAGATAAAATCAAAGTTAAATTAGACAGAAAACCATAGGTGAATTTTGTTGAAATATGCATACAGAACAATCATAGAATTCACAATCACTGTTGTAAAGATCGAAGTGATTGTTCATTCTCAAGCCATATTTTAGTCTTTCTTTGAAATATGGTAGTGAAAAATAAGTTATGATATAAAAATATTGTTGCGCTTCTGTCAATTCTTGAAAATAGATTGGGATTTTTTTCAGTTGATAGAATGAGCTTAAATCAGTGTCAAAGTATTAAAAAAGTCACTTGATTTGCAAAAAATGTCCTATAAATTACAAATTGACATTGTTTGTGTTAAGGTTAAAATTTTTCCAAACAGAATGAATTACTAAATAATATTCCTCTTTAAAGGTGTGGATTAACTTTATTCTTGTAGTTCCTATATAAAACATCACATAACATATCAGCTTCTAGGTCATTAGAAAAAATTGTATTCTTCCAATTTCAAATAGAGTAAATCCACAATACAATTATAAATAACACAAAATAGCAATAATGGCTGGCATGTGTATTCTTCTTCAATATAAGAGTTAAGTTCCTACTAGAGTGTTGAAACTCTGAAATTTCAGACTACACAATCATTGCTATAAAATTTAACTTAAGTGTGAGGAGGACCTCAAATAAAAATATTAATACCATATAAAAATTTCTTATTCATATTAAATACACCATTGCAGCTATACATTCTATATGTATTCATCCAATGAGTTATATGATTGTGATGGCTACAAGATTTTTAAGACAACACAGTTTATTATACCCCCACTTTCTAAAGCAGCAGTGTCGATTCATCTGTCCGTTCATTCGTTAGATCCTTCAACATTCTGTCCCACTTTTGTATCTACAACTGGTCTTGAGCTAATTGATAGAATTATGTAAAACTTTCACAGAATTATTATCACAATGTTCTTTTGCACCTCCTTTTTCATTTCTTCATCTAAATGATTTTTGGGGTTTACTTTGAGATGACATGGACAGTCATTTCAGCACACTGTAGTACAAATTTGGGGTACCCATTTTGTATCTGCAACTTCACTCTTAAACCCCTAATTACAATTGATTGAATCTTTTATCACAATATTAAATATATGGTATTGTGTACCTCCTATTTTGTTCTTTGATCTGAATAATTTGGTGATTTTCCTTACCAAAGCATGGACTTTGGCAACCACTTTATTTTGGGGTACCTATTTTGTATCCAACTCCTCCTGAACCCCTTATTACAATTTATTGAAAGTTTTTCACAATCTTAACCATATATTATTGCACCTCCTATCTATTTTTTTATCAGAATCATTTCAAATGTTTCCTTCAGCAAATCATGTGCACACTATAATTCATGTAGGCTTGAATTTATATTGATTTTACCATAGGTTGACCCTTTATGCTAAATATTGTACCATGAGCACTAGAGATAGAGTATGATTGGAACAGCCCAAAAAAGTCATGACATTGATGATCAGCTGACATACACTTTATTTGTATATTACCAGGGGTGTGCACTAAAGCGTTTTCAGAACGTGAAATTAGAATATACATTTACATCCAATTCTAAAAGCCTAATCAGTTGCTTATTTCTATAATCGATTTTGTCATCAACAAATTAAAATATAACTAAATTTGTATTCTTTTGAATGGTTTTTTGGGATGTTTAAATACACATCCACGTAGAGATTGCTTTATCTATATATAACATGATACATATTTATTATAAGGTTAAATCCTAACTATCCTACTGCCTGTCGATACTTTTATTTTGGCATTGCACAAGTCATGTCTTCTTTGACTGTCCATGGCGTTAAAAAACTAAATCCCTGGGATGTGTTTTAATTGATTTTAGTCTCTGATGCATGATTTAATATTATTAATTGTTTTTGGCTTTTAACTAGCTTTCAGTAACTGCCAGTACTCTCAAATCGTACTTTCCTGTTAAATTGACCTGTTGACACAATTTGTAATGCTTTTTTGTTATTCAATGTTTACTTATTTTGTGTTATATCTCGTCTCACTATTTCTAATATGAACCACCTTTGATAAGTATTTAGTATTACGATAAATTTTCACTTCTGTACTCATACTGTGAACAACAAATTTATTTAATTTGTAAAATCTTTTTATTAATATTGTACAAATGTATTCATATTGTGTCAAAGATCAAATTTTTTCGTTCAGTGTATGTTTACTTCTTTTTGTCTATATGTACTGTTTCAGGTTAGGGTGAAGGTTGGCACCTGTTAAAACGTTTAAACCTGCTGCATTTGTATGCACCTGTCCTAAGTCAGGAGCCTGTTCAGTGATTGTCGTCTGTTGATGTGGTTCATAAGTGTTTCTCATTTCTTGTTTTTTATATAGATTAAACTGTTGGTTTTCCTATTAGAATTGTTTTACACTAGTCATTTTGGGGCCCTTTATAGCTTGCTGTTCGGTGTGAGCCAAGGCTCCGTGTTGAAGGCCGTACTTTGACCTTTAATTGTTTACTTTTTACACATTGTGACTTCGCTGAAGAGTTATCTCAATGACACTCATACCACATCTTCTTATTTCTATAATCAGAATTTGATGAAATTTTCTCAGAATCTTCACCATATGATTCCAAATTGCAACTCCTATTTTGTTTTTGATCTCAATTAATTTTGGTGTTTCACTTATTAAAGCATGGACTTTGGAAGGGGCAGGGGTATATTTGGTGAGCAAAGCTCACAGTTTCATTACGTAATTTTGAAGGTAAATTAGACTTTTTGTCACAGGGGGAAACAATTAACATGTTAAGGATCCTGTCATTTGTAGAAAATTTTAAGAAAACAAACCTCCTGAAATCCTGATTATATGTACAACTTTAAATATGTAAAAACACTCTGCATAATAGCTCTTTTAATTTATATATAAGAAAATGTATCTCTATTAAATAAAACAATTTAATCACAAATTGAAATAAATACATTTGTACCCTTAAAACATCTAGTTTTTGTAATTATCACATATCTTTTTAATGAGCAATCTGTTGAAAATTTTATCATATATATTAAGCAGTATGATTTGTTTATTAATGTAACTCATTTCTATTTTGTCATATTTCAGGCAAAATACAATTAAAACTATATAATTAAAAAGTCCCAGTTGTTTATTGTTCATGTACTTCTATGAATCAATGTTTATTACGTGAATTATATACTGTGAAGTCTAACATATGAATTCCCAAGTCTAAAGCTACAAATAATCTCTGAAAATCTGTATCCAAACAGTATACAGGAGATCTCTTCTGACCACAATAATACATCTGTAATGAGAAATTTAAAACATTAAATAGTATCTAGCATTTATAATTAAATGTGTTTTCCACCAATTTAAACATAAATAAACTTATCATTCTTGGCACTGTATATTCCTTCACAGAGATAACAAAATAAAATATGAAAAACATGTCAACAATAAATCTTAATACTATTAGTTCATTTATGTTTTTGGATACTAATTTGCATGGATTGAGGAAAAGTTATATTTTCTTAGATATTTGATTTAGATGGGTTAGCATAAGTGTGCATACAAGCCTATAGAAAATGTGTATTCTTTTTAACATTTGAATTCGTGGTTAACATATCCCCATGAAATCCATGAAAATTGGTATCCCATGATTAATACAGAATCCACAGTAGTACACCAAAACGTATGATATTTGTGCTCCTTTAACAGTATAAATCATACATATTTAATTCATTTTTGTTGTAAGTGTACTTTAGTTTTATCATAAGTTATTTTTGTTCAATTTGGTTTTAAAAATTCACATATTGGTGACAAATCTGATAATTATATTGACCATAAACTTGTTTAAATGTAGCACAGTCCCACATAGTTTTACTGTCTTGCAAATCCAATACAAAACCTAGAGAAAGACTTGTGCAAAAGATTTCAAATAATATAATAGAAAGTTATATCAATGAATTATCATTTGTAAACAATTACCTGCACTGGATCTTTTAATCTTTTATCCCATAATCTTGTCATTCCATACTGAAATGTTCCAGTTAATATCACATTGTTTCCATCTGACTGTATGGAGGATAACTCTGTATCAAATGGTTCTGTCCATTCTTTTTCACTGTAAACAAATATCAACCTCCAACATCATTGAATAGTAAACTAAACCAATGACAACTTATATTCTTGAAAATTTAAAATAATTAATCATGTTAATGTAATGCTAATGTATTTTTTTTTGCTTTTTTCACTCTTTTTTCTGTAGTCTGTTGAAATTTTATGAAGTTGTGGTTTGTCTCCTCAAAAGAAACTGTTCAATTGGAAAGAAATTTTACTATACTGCTCTAGGTAAGACATAATCATCAATTTTGTAATAAAAGTGAATGAAGAAAGCATACTCATAATCTTAAATTTATTTGAAATCCACATTTTTAGATGACACATTGTTAATTATTCACAAACTATGAATGGTAATGTAGTAATTAAACTTGCTTTAAAACTATCAAACTTGCTTTTATCAGGCCTTTGTTTTCATGTTTGAATTGTTTTACATTTGTCAGTTTGGGGCCTTTTATAGCTTGCTATGTGGTATGGGTTTTGCTCATTGTTGAAGCTGTAGAGTGACCTACAGTTGCTAACTTTTACTCATTTGGTCTCTGTAGGAGAGTTGTCTCACTGGCAATTATACATGTAACACATCTTCTTTCTTTTATATTTATATTATTCATTTTCAGAATGTCTTTGGTTCTTATAAATGAAATAAAAGCTTTAAGCTTAAATAGTTTTATTTTTCATCTAAGGTTAATTTTAAAAACTGATTTAAGGATATGAGACAAACATTGATAGATTTTCTAGCTTTTGTAAATGTAGAATAAAAGCATTAATATAACAATTTTTTTGAATTTGAATTACTCCCTAATTCATGTGAAAATTAGTTGTCATCTATGTGTGTCATTTAAATACAAGCAGAGGAATTTAAATATGAGTACTGTGGATTCATTATTATTTGCAGGATACCAATGTTAGTGGACTTCGTGGGTATGGGTTTACCATGAATACCAATGTTAGTAGACTTCGTGGGTATGGGTTAACCATGAATACCAATGTTAGTGGACTTCGTGGGTATGGGTTAACCATGAATACCAATGTTAGTGGACTTCGTAGGTATGGGTTAACCATGAATACCAATGTTAGTGGACTTCGTAGGTATGGGTTAACCATGAATACCAATGTTAGTAGACTTCGTGGGTATGGGTTAACCATGAATACCAATGTAATTGGACTTCATGGGTATGGGTTAACCATGAATACCAATGTTAGTGGACTTCGTGGGTATGGGTTAACCATGAATACCAATGTTAGTGGACTTCGTAGGTATGGGTTAACCATGAATACCAATGTTAGTGGACTTCGTGGGTTTGGGTTAACCATGAATACCAATGTTAGTGGACTTCGTAGGTATGGGTTAACCATGAATACCAATGTTAGTGGACTTCATAGGTATGGGTTAACCATGAATACCAATGTTAGTGGACTTCGTGGGTTTGGGTTAACCATGAATACCAATGTTAGTGGACTTCGTAGGTATGGGTTAACCATGAATACCAATGTTAGTGGACTTCGTAGGTATGGGTTAAGGTGGCTCGGGTGTCTTCCTCCATCTTGGATTTTGAAGTAGCAGATAACGTTGGTCTAGATATTTGATGAAATGTGCAAATTTTGAGAGTAGTATATAATTTATGTAAAAGACTTTTGATGAAAATATAGAAAATTGTGTGTTTTATCCTAATTACAGCTGTAATTTCTCAAAAACACCTTATTTGTTTGTGTTTGATTAGATTTTTTCAACTTTGCCAAATAAGGGGAGATAACTCAGATAAAGTAATTTTTATAATAGAAAGTGTTGTGAATTTACCTATTTTGATATGTAGCAAGAAAACAAGTTCGGTGACCCCATTTTTTTTTTCTTATATGAAAGCATGTTATAAGAGCTATCTTCTCACATTTTATCTTAAAGTTCTATCAAGTAGTTTTCTTTTTATCACACAAAATTTGATTTTCTATGCATAATCTATACAAAATCTGACAATTTTGCACGACCTGTAGCGTGAAAAAAAGTCCGGTGGCCCATACTTTTTATTATATTTTTGAAAAAAGCATGATAAAAACTTCATTTTGACAAATTATCAAAAAATTCTATCAATTTTAATTAAGACTCCCCAGCCACCTTAACCATGAATACCAATGTTAGTGGACTTCGTGGGTATGGGTTAACTATGAATACAAATGTTAGTGGACTTCGTGGGTATGGGTTAACCATGAATACAAATGTTAGTGGACTTCGTGGGTATGGGTTAACCATGAATACAAATGTTCAACAAAGTACAATTTTTCTATAGGATTGTATGCTGAATTTGGCAAAATAATTAAAACAAATATCCACAACTTATTATTTATTCCAATAGAATAAATGAATCCATAATATAATTTCTTCTGCCATTTGCACTACAAACACTTGTCTGTGGCTCTTTCTTTAGCAACTTGATTAAATTTCTAAACAGTTTAGATATATGATACAAATAGCTACTGTGGTAGAATCCCTTAATGAATTTTAAATTCCTTTCTACTTCCTCATGAAACTATTCAATCAAATGAGACGGCCTTTTGGTTTAATTTTTATATTGTGTTACCTGCATTTGTTTCACAACTTATTTATAAAGTAAACTTGATGCTTTTCTTGTTTCTATTTAAACAACCATCAAATTATATCACTGTGAAATGTTCATCTAATCATTACAATATACATGAAGCAGTACTAACCATGAGAGAGTCCTGAGATCCCATAACCGTAAACTTGTATCATATCCACAGGTCAACATTATATGTGGTGTCTCATACTTTATGTCTAATACACCTGCTCCTTTCTTATAACCAGATCCTAGGCTGTACAGTAATCTACAACTGTTAAGCATAATAAACTATTAACACAGAGATATATCTCGCCTTTTTGTACTTTTGATAATGCAAATGTTGAAATTAAAATAGCAATACTTTAACATGTAAGTTATGCAAATACTCAAAGTCAATGAACCATGACTGAAGGTGTGCCAATGCTAATACAACTGCATACCAAATACCATAGACTTATCATAAGTCGTTCCCTTTCAACAAACCTAAACACAAACATGACAAACATTGACTTGTAAACTATGTAAAAATTTCAAAGTCAATGAACCATGATGAGGGTTAGGGGCTATATAATCCATGGAAACGAGACTTGCAAATGCCAATACATTTGCATACCAAATATCATTGACTTAACATTAGCGGTTCATCTTAAACTGATCTAATCACATACTAATACATGTAAACTAAGCAAAAGTTTCAAAGTCAATAGACCATGACTGAGGGGGTGGGACCAAATATTCTCCATGGAAATGAGATGTGCTAATGTTTATACAACTGCATACCAATTATCATTGACCTACCACTAATGGTTCCCCTTGAACTGACCTAATCACAAACTAATACATGAAAACGAAGCAAAAGTTTCAAAGTCAATAGACCATGAATAAGGAGGCAGGGCCAAATAATCTCCATGGAAATGAGATGTGCTAATGCTTATATAACTGCATACCAAATATCATTGACCTACCACTAGTGGTTTCCCATAATCTGACCTAATCACAAACTAATACATGTAAACAAACAAAGTTTCAAAGTCAATAGACCTTGACTGAGGGGGCAGGGCCAAATAATCTCCATGGTAATGAGATGTGCCAATGCTAATACAACTGCATACCAAATATCATTGACCTACCACTAGCGGTTCACCATGAACTAGACCAAATCACAAACTAATACATTGTTGACGCTGCCGCCGGAAACAGCATACCTATGTCTCGCTTTTTTTTGACTCTGTCAAGGCGAGACAAAAATGATATAAAATTTCAACAAAGGTACCAGTCTTATAATTTGTTATGCCAGATACATGTTTCATAAACATAAGACTCATCAATTGAAAGGCAAAATCATATACAAAGTTGAAGAGCACTTAAACCAAAATTTCCGAAAGGTTATGCCTTTGGGCCGAAAAATCTTAGTGTTTAGAATAATTCAACATAAAATTTCCAAAATTTGACAGTATCATTGATATTTCATATCAACACAGAAGTGATGATTACTGGCCAGTGGGCTGGTGACACCTCAGGACAAAAAGCCCACCAGATGTGGCAGACCCAGTAGACAAACCTTATAAGCAAGAACTAGTGATAATAAAATGTACATTGTTGATAAGGAAAAGATGTGGATTTTAGATATTTATTTTACAATCAACAATTCTAAGTCATATGCCTGTTTAATGACACCCAAACAGACACAAAAAGGCCTTATACCAATACAATAAATTTTTGTTTTGAGTAAGAAAACTTGGTTACAAGAAGTTTTTCTGACGACTTTATTCACAAATTTAACCTTACACTTATTTCAATCATTCTTCAATTATCTTCACCAATATTTCATACCTTTCAAGATCATGCACTTCTACTGGAGTTCTGTTTGTTTCAAGACCTGCATTTCCAATGGTAAATGTGCTGCAAATTTACAATTTAACATGTTTACAAATTAAAACTAGATTTATCTAACGTTGTTACATTTATTTGAATAAATTAATCTTATTTTCATTAAATACTATACATGACTATATACCCCAGTAGTGATCTTTTACTGTTACATGTTGTATATATGACTATATACCCCAGTAGTGATCTTTTACTGTTACATGTATTATTTGACTGTCTACCTGAGAATAAAGTTTTATATCTCTTTTTTTATAATGATAATATGAACTCAGTCTGATGGTCTCATTACTATAACCTGCATGTCAGGGATTGGCACGATTACTGACAAATGTAATCGATTAATAATCGATTACATGAAGGTATTTTGTGCAATCGATTAATAATCGATTACTCAGATTTTTGTATGTAATCGATTGCAATCGATTACTTTATCAAAAGTAATTACATTACTTTTCGATTACTGTCAATTACATGCTTCAAAATTTAAAAAAAAAATAAAGTAAGTTAAACACTATCATGTTGATCAACGTTTGTATAGTAGGTGTTTAGAACTTTACCAAAAAAACAGCATTTAAATCATTGTTTCCAAATTATAAGTTGACAGTTGTTATCTAGATGGAATCTCTTACTGAGGATCAGAATTATTAAAAAAATCTTGAAATTTGACTTTCAACATGAATTAGAGATGACATTGCATTCCATCAATCACTTATATATATGTTTAAAGTTTTTTTCAATAATTTTGCTTTCGTACTGACTTAACTTAGCTTTTTTGTTTTTATTCATTAAAAGCAGGTACATTTTAGCATAGTTTTTTACAATGTTGGAAGTTTTCTCAGAAGAAAATATAAAAAAGTAGAATTATTAATTAGTTCAGCTAATTCTAAGGATCAAAATTTATAATTATAATGACAAACATGATTTAATCCTTTTATTGGAAAACCACCTTAATTATAGGTTATAAAACTGCCAATGGAGTATAATTTATAACCTGGGGCAAAATAATGTAAATCTCCATCTTAATTAGACAAACAGTAATTGAAATAAAAACAAAGAATGTGTCTTATATAGTGATTAGAAGACTTTGATCATCTGATTAGTAAAGACAAGTTTGTTAAGATTTTTTTATTCTATAATAAAATTATAAACAGTATATATTTATAGTGTCAACGAGGGATACATGTATCATTTCTGAAAAGAATTTCAATGCATAGGCATTGGTTCATTGTTAAAAGGATTTTGTGTACTTATTTTTTATATACATGTATATCTTAACATTATAAGAAATCAACTGTTTTATCTATTCTAAGCTTAAATCTTATTGAAAATTATGCTTTTAGGAAATTTAATACAAATAAGCTTACTACTTTAAGGAAGTACAGAACTTAACTTAAGACACATTTCTTATTTTAAATCTATTTTCTTATTTTAATATAAAAGGTGTTGACTTATTGACAAGCACATAAATCCATTTGTTTCAAAAGCTAGATATAAAATAAATTATGGTAGGGGATCTGGTTGATCATAATGCAGCTTGAGACAATAGATAGAAATATAAAAGCAGTTGATAAACTCTTAAGTCATATCAGTACTTCAAAGTGATGAATACATACATGTTTTCATTTAAAATACTAGGTTATATTTCATCAAACTATTTTACTGAAGTAATCGAAATGTAATCAAAAGTAATCGATGATTACATCATGATTTTTGCTGTAATCGATTAAATTACGATTACATGTAATCGAAAATGTCTTCGATTACAGATTACTGTCGATTACTGGAAAAAATGTAATCAATTACAATTACAGATTACGATTACCCCATCCCTGCTGCATGTGCATTCATTAGGTATTATTGAGGTTCTTATTTTTGTGTATTTTGTAGATATAAGTGAACCATAACTTAATTAATAGTCAATAAAATACTTGCATGAGAACTTGTCAAAACCAAGAAACCAAATATCCGTGAACATGGGTACCCTCAGGTATTAATGAATCTAAAGCTATTTTTTTTGTATTTCAAACACATTTACATTTCATTATCATTTGTTTTGGTGTTCAACAACACATGTTTGCATCTCAATGATTGCTGTATTCACATGCCAGCTTTAGCCAAAAGATACATGTATGCAGGGAATTTACAAATGTACATGTAGTCATGCAATTATACATATAAAGCTAGGAGTTGAAAAATGGGCGCAATAACTACAATAATATTAATGTTTCACTTTGTATTAATGTTATTAATGTTATCAATCGCCAAAATTAATTTTCATGAAAAATTATTATATTATTTTATCTGTTGATATCTATTGTTAATGCTAGGAATCATCATACAGGTACTTCTGCACGAGTTTCTGTCAGTTCAGGGGTTACAACACCGTAAGGAAGAAAAAGACAATGCAATGCTACTGCCACCTAAACAGCGACTTATAGGATAAATATTACATTTGTAACTATACAGTTTATATTGAGTTACAAAAAAAGTATACTATAATTTTCAAATTCTGACAATTACCTGCCATCTGGAGATGTTGCCACTGACCACACCCTGTTGGGATTTCTGACAGTGTTACTACAGTTGTTTATAGTGACTACACCAGACTTGTCATCATTGTTTGTATTGATAACCTGTAGTTAAAATATAATTGAAATTATTTTATAATCTATGTAATGTATATATAAAACAAAATGGTCAGTTAAAACTTCTACATAAAATGTTATATCATAATGACTGTAAATAATGAACCTAAAGAAAAGTCTGTCATTTTGTATCAGTTGTTTATTTGATGTCTTCCCCTCATTGTTAAGATTATTAGTATGGTATGTACCATCTATCCTTATCATATGTCTGAATTCACTATATCTGCTTCACAAAATACATAGATATAAGAAGATATGGTATGAGTGGCAATGAGACAACTCTCCATCCAAGTCACAATTTGTAAAAGTAAAACATGTACAAAATGTATAAGGTAAAAATGCACATTCCAAGTCCTTCAAGACTGAATATGAGCATTGGTACATGTAACACCATTTTTGGCATATTTTGGTGTATCTTTATTAATCTATCAACATGCCAAAAAATCTAAATTTCTCAAAGCATTATCAATAGCTTAATTTTTCCTGATCAACTTTAATATAATACATGTAACATACATGTATGAACAACATTTATACTTAAATTTGTAGGTTAATTTTAAATAAGAAATTATCACAAATTAAAACTTAAATCACTATAATTTTCTCATAGCGACGCGGGATTCAAAATAAGCTCTGCTTCCCTAAAATTATACTACATTTACAATACATGCTAGATTTATTCAGCTAGCACCAGGACAAAATATAGCAAAATGGTACTAGTGTTATAAAGCCCTGAGAAGAACATTGCTAGCAAACAATTCCAAACAAATACAATAAACACTGACTCATCTTGCACTGACATAACCTTTTATTAATTGTACATTTTTTATGATAAAATTTATTGCTACATAAAATAAGGAGACGTACATCATTTGTACATATGGTATGATTGACAATGATACAACTATCCACCAGAGAACAAATGATATAGATGATAGCAACTATAGGTAACCATATGGTCTTCATCAATGAGCAAATCCCATACTGTATAGCAAGCTATAAAAGGCTCTGACATGGCAAAATGTAAAACAATTCAAATGAAAAAACCAATATATATGTGAAAATCACTGAAGGTAGACATGCAATTCACCTTCTATATTGGTAGAGCCACTTATTCAACCCTATTATATTCAGCAAAAGCACTTTCTATTATCAATGTATCATTTCCGATACAGTCACAGTGACACTTACTTTAACTGATCCATCTTGGTAACCAGCCACAACTGTATCATTATATACAGCTACAGCTTGTGTATCACCACATTCATCGAAATTGTATTCAAACTTCTTTTCTTTTGAAACAGTACTAAATCCTATAATACTGCCCCCTCTATAATTGAAACAGTAAACATATTCACAGTTCAATTTTTTTTTTGAAAAAAGAAAACAAACACACTTTACACACTAAAACTAAATGAATTTTTGTAATTGAGCGTCACTAATAAATCTTTCGTAAATGAAGCGTGTGTCTAGCAAACAAATTATCTTTGATGAGTTTTTTTCTAAGCTTCTATTTTCAAGATATTTAATTCATCAAAAGTAATAATGATTTATAAAGTCTTTCTATCTTTATGTTGTTACATTTTGTACATGTATTATGTTTGGCATTTTCCTTTGATGCATTTTAAACTTATCTTGAACATTCTTTTATACACTCCACTAACATGTCAACATGCAGGCTATATACATGAATAATGAGATTGTTTTGAGTTATAAAAGTTCTCACATAGATGAAGCCCATACACTGTGATCATCACTCTTGGAATTTTAATACTGTACATTACATACTGACTCAAGAATATCTACTTTATATCTTTTAAATTTCATATAAATTATATAAATGCATTGCTTATTAGTTTAATGCTCTTTTTTCTGCAATAACTTATTGTTTTCCATTCGTTTGATGTGTTTGAGCTTTTGATTTTGCCATTTGATAAGGGATTTTCCGTTTTGAATTTTCCTTGGAGTTCAGTATTTTTGTTATTTTACCTTATAATTATACATTAATATTTCTGTAGATAAATAAAATCTACCTAAATCCACTGACGAGAACATCATCATTGACCACAAACTTTGTTACATCATAATTACAGCAAGAGATTCTGTTTGACACATCTTCTTTTACTGTACTGTCATTAAATACATTGTAACAATTAATGTTCACTGCATTGGAAACATAAAGCTTCTGTCCATGTAGTCTAGCCCATGGCATCAATCTTAAAAAAAAAATATATGTTACATGTGTATTAAATGTCAATAAAATACATGCTTACAAAATATAATACTGTTTTCATATTTCAATTTACTTGTAAAGGAATAAAAAATTCATACAAGCAACAGTTGTATTCGCTAAATGTAACAAAAAATAGTGTCTTAGCTACATAAAATGTACATTTACATTAAATTATAAACTACAATTTAACAATTCTCAATCACATTGTTTTTTTTAGAAATTATATTCATGTTATACAATGTACTGTTTCTGCTTAAATTTTACAAAGAAAACAAATTGGAATAGTAAATATGTTCATAAAATTTCATATGCAGGCAGCCATAAGGAATATACATGAAATTTAAATACACATTATAAACCTGATATACGAAAGGCATATATATCATTGTACAATGTGCATACTTTGTCTTGTGTTTGACAAACTGTGTATCCTTAACAATCTTGGTTTCCCAGTTCTTTGCTATTCTACACCTATCTTTTAACATAATTCTTCTTTTCCTGAAAGACAAATAGTTTAACAAATTTCAAAGGTAACATAATTAATCACAATCAAGTCAAACGCTTTCCAGCGATGGACATACATGACATATCAGACAAAAATTTTGTTAGTAATTTAAGTGTATGTATCTATAGCCATGATAGCTACCAAAAAAAAAGATTTTTCTATATATGTACATGTACTTACATTGTTAATTATTAGTTCATAAAACAACATTTAAAAATGCCTACTTTGCACAAAATATCAGTCCATTTGAAATTATATTTTTTCAGAGCAACTTTGAATTTCTGCCATTGTGTAGATTTGTTAAAGAACCTCCATACTCAGACAGATCAATCGGATTTTCATATATTTTAAAGTTTTACATCATGATATTGCCTAATTGATTTTGTAAAGAAAGAAAATAGTGTGCTGGTAAAATATAAAGAGTTCTTACATAATTTTCCTATAAACATGATAAAGCAAAGACTGATTTATTAGTTTTGAATTTGAGTTACATGTTATGTCAAGTTTTGCAGATAAAAGTGCAGCACATACTTTAACTACATAAGATATACAAGGTATCGGGTCCGTTCGCTCCAAGAACATGTTCCCACCCCACATGTTTGCCACCCATGGGTTTGTTCACACCCTACTTTTATTCAAATACAGGTTGAATTATTCAATGTTTTTAAGATGTATATGTCCAACTATTTATATTTACATGAATAAAATTTGTGAATTTTCTAAATGAAAAAATTCTTAAACATGTTAAACATGTTAAATGTTAATTATTTATGAATACTGTTATTTTGGTACTTACATATAGCATGTATAGCTAACTTAGTATTATTGTTGTTTGATGTCTTCCGCCTTTATTTTACAAATCTTTACAAATGAGTGACTTGGCCTTTGATCATCATGACAATATCTATTATTTATTTCGTCAAAATAATTCACAAAACACTAAAGGAAACCTGTTTACATTTTTAGAATGTCAGTTTATTTTAAAACAATAAAAAAAATTGTTATCTTTATTTAATAATAATTTATCATGTTCATGATGTTTATAGCAACATCAGGGACTCATTTCACAAAAAAACATACAAGAAAAATTTTTTGTAAGTCATGAACAGTTCTGTATAACTTACAATCAATTTTAGTCATATGATTTTTGTGTAAAAAGAGCCTAAGAGCTACATTTTTTTTATTTCTGTTTTTGGGGATATACAATTCCATCATTTGAAATTTGATGTAGTAAAAACCTTTGAACTCCTCTTTAAGTTTTAGTCTCAGTGACGAAAACTTCATTTCGCATTAATACCGGTTTTGTATCTTTTGATTGGTCACTCTTTCTCTAATGTTTTGTCTGTTATATTTACATTTGTGATTGTCCTTTTTGTTATAGCATACACGAACATCAATGTACATTGTATATACATATGTACACTGTATGTTACATTTTAAAAAGGGTGCGAACGTGAATGGGGGCGAACATATATGGGAGCAAATGTGATTTCGGGCTTATGGACCTGGATTCAATATACAAGAACCTACATTTGTATCTTAAACGTTTTCCAGTTGCACAAGTTTTCTGTCATTTTGTCTGTACTCAGAATATATTATAAGTTGTAAACATTGCAATATTTGCATCTTAAAATTTATTCTTCTGTAAATTTAAGATAGAATCACAAATTCATGATATTAAGCAAATGCGCAATATTGTATATGATATTGAGAAACACTTTAAACACATAATACTTTGTACATGTTGTACAAATGTACATGTAAGCCTTCTGACTGTCAAAACCTTTTTCGTCCTCGTGCACCTACTAATCTTTTAGTCAAATGAACCTTTCAGTTTAGTATATATATAAGTTCCCAGATTGAAGAATAACAAAATTACCTTCTTTGTGCACTGTTTTGCCTAGGACTTCTTTTGCATGTTACATCACCTGGAAATACCATTAGTCTGTAATTTGGACTCTCTTTAGTCCATACACAGTCCTTTGATGCTAGATCTCTTAATCGTGAGCAGGTGCAACATAATCGACAAAGAGTCTGCGTGTTACAATAAGCAAATATTGTATACAGAATGTCATCTGGGAGATCAACAAAGTTGACATCCTGTGGCTTAGAACAGTTATGGTAGTGCCTAACCTTATTTTCAGGAGTTATCTCTGAAGAGTTTATATTCATTTTCAGTCAATTTTCGGTAAATAGCGGATAATGATAATTCAAAGGCTTTCGTTGCTTTCTTGTTCCTGTAAAACATCTCAAATTATAAACAAATGAATTTCGAAATATCCATTGGATTTTGGAAATAAACAAACTGACTCAAAATGTTCTTGTTTTTACAGTTTCAAAAAGCTATCTTGCAAACGCAAACATGTTTCAGATATGGTGTATCTAAAAACCTAATGATCATAATTTCTATATTTAAATATTTTTTGTCCGGCTTATTTATTAAGCTTTATGAGACCTTCTCATGGTAATACATAAATCGACTTCATTTTATTACGTAATATTACAAGAAAACAAACATATATAACTTTTAAAAGCAAATAGCTAAATTATTTAGGTCGCAGATTGTGTCAAGGGAGATAATTCAACAAATCAGCTGACTGTGGCTTCTGTCAAAATATAAAGTAACTATAAGTTTACGTAATATTTCCTACCTTTATAGAAATTTACACTTGATAAAGTTAAGTAATGTTCAGTGTGTATATAACAACCCAAACACTTTTTTTCATAGACAGTGACACAAGACAAAAAGTATAAACTGAATAACTTTGGCACATTTCTGTTACATAAACCTGGGACTATTATACTGTACTAGTATAATAGTCCCAGTATAAACAGATAAACCCTTTATTTAAAGTCGGTATGTACAAGACAATTACAAACATAAGGTCTTTGAGCACTGACAAAACAAAAGCTGACATTCAATAATACACACAAAAAATACATGTACCAAAATATGCACACAAATTTGTTACAATCCCTATTTCCATTCTCAATTTTCAAAATATGAATCAGTTGATTTTCCCCAAAAAATTGTAACCATTGTAAGCTTGATTTTACTTCTTTACGTTGCTCTTACTTGACTTGGTACCAGGATGTCCTACCTGTGACAGAGTAGGTAACCTCTCGAAAAAATATTAAATTCGGAGTCAAAAGTTGGTAATATAAAAATAGTCTATTTTTTAACATGGTAATTTTGATTTGCTATCATATTACAACCTTTTATAGCCCTCATCTTTTTGGAAATGATGTTCCCAGTTCTGTTTAAACTGTCAAAAGTTTTTCTCCCTTTACTTTTTTTGTCAGTAAACATTTTTTTCAGGTGTTCAAGGGGTAATACCACCATTTCCCACCTATAAGTTATTGTGAAATTAGCATTTTTCAAAAAATGGTGGAGAATTTATCTTGGTTTCAAATAAAGTAATACTAGGCAAGAGTAAAGTTTTATCCTGTCCAGTACTGCAGTGAAAATTTCATATAGCGTTTTATTGCATATAAGATAATAACCACCGGAAGTAAACCAATCAAATTTTCACTCCTTTTTATACGACCGCATAAAATTTTGCCATCGTATATTGGTATTAATTCGTCGTCAGCGTCGTCCAAAGACATTTTGTTTCCAGACAATAACTTTAATATAAGTAAATAGAAATCTATGAAATTTATACACAAGGTTTTATTACCGTTTATAACCACAAAAGGAAGGTTGGGATTGATTTTGGGGGTTATAGTCCTAACAGTTTAGGAATTAGGGGCCAAAAAGGAGCCCAAATAAGCATTTTTCTAGTTTCCAGATACATGTAATAACTTGTGGAACAGTGTATGGATCTCTCTGAAATTATACCACAAGTTTCCATACCACAAAGGGATGGTTAGGATTGGCTTTGGGGGGTAATGGCTCAAACTGTTTAGGAATTAGCAGCAAAAAAGGGGGAAAAACAAGGGTTTCCTTGTTAATGGACAATTACTTTTAAGTACAATGTTTTGTGTTTGGATTACCTCCCTTACACTGCTTTTAAATTATGTATAAAGAAATGTTGGATTAGCTGTCAATTTATTTTTAGAAGTTACTATTAAAAATGCTGATTATGGAATAGTAATTTTAGACATGATTGTGTATGTCATTTTCTATTTTAAGACTTTTATGATGTATTTAAATGGGTAATTATGGTTGCAAACTCCATTGGAAACTTGAATTAAGATAATGACCATATCTTGAGGGAAAGAATTTTTTTTTTGGAAAAAAGGGGTATTACCCCTTGAACACCTGTTCAATTCGCAACAGCATAGTGTATTGCACAAAAGCAAAAAAAAAGGGGGGTAAAATTTTTTTTTACTATTTGTTTTTTGGGAGGAGGGGTATAATTTGCAACAGCATTAAGTGTATTGCACAAAGGCAAAAAATTGAATATAAATTCAAATCATATAACTAATTCTTAGTTCTTTGACTACAGTTATTCTGTGTCAGAAACCTATTATGTGTCAAATATTTAATTACAATCCAAATTCAGACCTGTATCAAGCGTGAATATTGTGTCCATTTTTGCCCCAACTGTTCAGGGTAAGACCTCTGCTGTTGTATCCAGCTGCGCTAGGCGAAGCAATTTATTATTTTCCTGTTTACAAGCTTTAGTAACCATGTCACCTCAAGTTCCCAAATATTTTATAGAAACACCAAATAAAAAGAGAATGGTGCCTTGAAACACCCAAGATATATGTTTATGACAATGAAATTTTTTTCTGCAATGAAATGCAGGGTTAATTACCTACAACTGTCAAATTCAAGGGAATATTTTTTTTTCAACCCTTTTTTGTATGAAACTGGATGAGACGTACCATGTTTTGGTGGTTTTACACCTCAAACCATCCCCTCCCCCTTTAAAAATAAATCTGTTGATAATCCTTATCCATCTCTACCAAGTTAAACAATTTAAATAGTATATGAATATTTGCATCCAATATCTGAATCTACCATACTAGAACTTAAAATGTAAATCACCTTTCAGCATTCTTTTTGTCTTTTCCTTTCAGATCCAGGATGGAAGCTGTATTGAATCCTTGAGGAATGACTGATATTCCACCAAATGTATCTCTGCCTCTGCTTGGAATCGGCCTCATTTCACTCCTCCTAAGTTTTATATTTTGTATTTATATGTGGAGGTAAAATATTCTTATTATGTTATAGAGTGCATGATTAAGTAATTAACGGTACATGATAGAATACACTAAACTTCTGTTTCTTGCTTTTTAAGTATTTTTCACTTTGATAAGTTCTGCTTTGATATTTAATGGACACATTAATTTGTAAGAAAACATTTAGAGAACTTTCTTTTTAAATGAGTTCTAAAACACATCAGGATCATGTTATTTTAGTTTTTTTTTTATATTTAACTCATATCCAGATGCATCTTCTTCAAAGCAACAGTTCCAAAGGTTAAATATGATGGTGATCAATATATCCATTAAAAGTATATGCCTGTAGTGTGAATAAAGTTATATTAGTTAATGTACTGTGTCATACAGCAGACATACTGTTTAAGCATATGGAAATATACCAGTGCAAGTAAATGTGATTACAGAAGTTGCTGTATTAAATTGCATTCATGTAAACTGTTATGTTTTTATGCCCAACTATGATGATAGGCAACATGTTTTCTGGTCTGTGCATTTGCCGTTTCATCCATCTGTTAAAACATAGTGTGTTTGTCTGTTCATATATTGGTGGTTTGTCCCTTATAAGGTTAAAGTTTGGATAAAGGTATGCTAAAATTTTGATTAAAGGTAGTTTGTGTTCACATTATCTTGAAATTCAGAACACATGTTTATTATGAAGTGAACTTTTTAAAATATATGACAAATTTGAGTTTTAAACTTGATTTTGTGGTTCATTGAACTGTGAAATGTGATAGTTGAGTGAGACATGGTGTGCTATACTTGATTTTGTGGTTCATTGAACAGTGAAATGTGATAGTTGAGTGAGACATGGTGTGCTATACTTGATTTTGTGGTTCATTGAACAGTGAAATGTTATAGTTGAGTGAGACATGGTGTGCTATACTTGATTTTGTGGTTCATTGAACAGTGAAATGTAATAGTTGAGTGAGACATGGTGTGCTATGGACACATACTCTTGTTTGGTTTATTGTATAATTGATTACTTTAAAAAAAATCCAATGTATATACCACACCTCTTTAATTCATAGCTGCAGTTAAAATAACATCACATAAAGTTATATTTATAATTCATACCAGGAAAAAAATCAGAAAAATAAAATGCATACACAAATAAAATTGCAATACTCATAAGTCATGTTAGTTATAACTTTCAGTTTTTAACTGGATTCTCGAAGGAAAAACCAGTTATTGATTTGGGGTTGTAAGGCGGGCGGGCAGCTGCCAAACAGTGTCCGTTCATTAACATGCAAACACTTTGACGAATTTTTTCAAATTTTGATATGTTGTTTCATGTGACTAAATGAAGGTCAAGTTCAATTTTCATGATTTTATCTTCTCTCGTTTGTTTAGTTTTCGACTTTTTAGAAGTCCAAATATATACTTATTATATGATTGAGTTATTTCCCTTTGAACAGAAATTGTGATTTGCAAATATCATTTTCATTAGATAATAATGTATTTTTATTAAAGAATATATTTCATTACATTACATTGTGTAGATAAAACTGTTGACATTGATATATAAGTTGCAGATCTATATTATTTTGTGACAAATGAAAGAACAAATATTGGGAACTATTGATTATATATATAAAGTTTGATTACACTAAGTGTTTTTAAATAATTTTCACCTGTTAATAGATACCAAAACATCTGGTAAATATCTTATCATACAATTATAATTAGAGTGACAGATTTAATTGAAAATTTTCTGTTTCCTAAGTGTTGATGATAAGATCTGTAGGACAGTATAAATAAAGTTTGAAATTTACTGTTCATTTTAGAGGTTTTGAAGATAATTACAGATAAGTTTTATAGATTTTTAATAGATATTGTATTAATGATAAATGACATTTTGGATTTTTTTTTATCTTTTTTTTGGTAAATTGTTTGAAGAATTTTGTGGTTGGTTTGTTTGTTATTCTGTATAAACTTATTTTCTGAATGCTATATATATAATTTTTTTGATGAAGCAAACTCCTTAAAAAACTAAGCTTAGTTTGTCTATTAATAAACATATATTTAGATTTCTGATTTTGGGCCCAGTTTTCAAGTTGGTCCAAATCAGGGTCCAAAATTACACAGTGTTTGATTTCAACATAAATTGAATATATATAGGGTTTTTTGAAAAGCTGAATCTAAACCTGTATTTATTTTCATTATTAATTAGATGGTACCCCATTGAGGTCTAAAGGGTCCTAAATTAAACTTTTGTTTGATTTCATCAACAATTCAAAAATTGAATTCTTGGGGTTCTTTGATATGCTTATGATGACAATGTTATTAGATTTTGGATATTGGACCATAAAAGGTAAATTTCCGATTTCAAATTTTCTGTTCATTGACCACATTCATCTTGTGTCACAAACCTATACTGTGTCAAATATTCAATCACAATCCAAATTCAGAGCTGTTTTAAGGTTAATGTTGTGTCCATACTTGCTCAACTGTTCAGAGTTCAACCTCTGCAGGAAAATCCGGTTTTCTTGTTAAAATATCGTTTATTAATTATTGTAATGAGATAAAACTGTACTGCATATATAAGAAAATTTATTTTATGAAGTAGTTGCAGTTTATAATCAGACTGGTAAAAATCATATACTTATGAAATCTATTTATGTGTAATTTCTTATAAATATATAGCTGATTGAAATATGTTTTGATTAGTATACCTATATTCAAACTAGGTTAAGATGTCGTGCAAGAGAAGAAAGAGGCTATAATAGGGTATGCTATTAGATTAGATTATTGAAAGTATTTCCATATACAAGCCTCAAAGAAGAAGTTTCTCCTATTAGTTTTGTGAAGTTGTTGTTAAGGGATTATGAGCCAAATATAAAGATCTGTTAATCATATAATGACAGGATATTTGATGCCCCATATTTAATGTACACAAATTATAAAAAAAAAACAAAGTAGTGATCAGAAACTATTTTTAATTCACTGTCCATATATTCATTATGAAAATGTCAAATAAAGAAATTGAAATGTGAGAGCTTATTGAATGTGTACCTGATACATTGTATCAGTCATCATTACTGAATGTTACATTTATGATGGGCATAATCTGTGAATTCATATTTTCATGATAGAACATTTAATATTGCACTTGCTCTATTTTTACAAAGTATCATAAGACATTGTATAGTAAAGAAATGAAATAGATTTTAATTATTTTTGTAGATCCAGTTTAAAGAAAAGAATAAGAAATATTCTTCTGTAAGTTATAAATGATTTATTGGGTCAGGAATATGCATGAACGATTTGCCAGTGGACAATTAGCAAAGAAAAATTTGTTATTATGGTGATTTTAAGAAACTGAAACTATTCAAATGACAATTATGTGTTTCCATCTTGTGTTGTAAAATAGCTTAGGAAATAGGTATCACGTCCTCAGAGACTTTGAAGCCAGGTATATTCCTTTAAACTAACAGTAGTTGATTTACCCGTTCCTGCCTTTCTTGTCAAAAAGGTCAGTTTACCATATATACTTTGGGTTTTTATAAAACTAACCTTGATATGGTTATCAATTATAAGCCTCAATGAACTTAGTATATATATATATATGTTATGAAAGTTCCAAAATTTAACACTCAAAATAAAAAAAAAATCAATGACTTATCAGCTCCTGACATCTTATGTGAAGTGTATACAACTTTATGACCTGTTCAGACATTACAAGGATTTTTGTCTTTTGATATATATCAGGAATCAAAATAATGATAATTATTTCACCTATATATACAATCTAGAACCATAATTAAAACATGGTATTGTCAGAGGAATACTGATGGTTAACCTTTCCTCTTTAGTAAAAACTATTGAAATACCCCTATACATGTACTAAAATATCCTGATTTGTATTATCAAAAGTATTTTCACAAGTATTTAAATTAAGACCTAATAAAACCTAAAAGCTAGTATAGAATGATTCATATATACACCTAAAAAGTGTACAAAACAACACCAATATTAAAAAAATAAAACATTAAATATAAGTATCTGTAAATATTTCGGATAACAGATATCCTTCATCAGTATGATTATGATGATATAAAATGAATCATATCAATCTATTCTGATTTAACTATAACAATCTTTACAGTTATTCAATTAAAAACCAAACAATGCTTGTATAATTCTTAAATTTCAAAAATGATGTAGGCAGCAGGTTAACTGAATAGATATGCTTGTAAAATGTAATTTATTAGCCCCCTACTGACGAAGTCGAAGGGGACTTTAGGTTTGCACTCCGTCCGTCTGTCCGTCTGTCCATCTGTCCGTCTGTCCATCCGTCAGTCCGGCAAATCAGCTTTCCACACTTTTTTTCTTCGTTCTTAAAGATATTGATTTGATATTTGGTATATAGTTTTATCATGACAAGTTATAGATCAAGTTCGAATTTTGTTCCGGTCTGATGATTTAGTCCAGAGTTATGGACCATAACTCTGGACCATATCTAATGTTAGAGTACTATGTTAAACCATATTTCTGTACAAAGGGAGATAACTCATTTTTTAAAAGACATTCTTTGTTAAATTATTTGAAGAATTTTTTGACAGGTTTGTTTGTTATTTAGTATAAACTAATTTTCTGAATGCTATAGATATAAAAAAAAAAATTATGAAGAGAAGTCCTTTAATTAGATAATAATCTATTTTTATTAATGTATATTTTTCAATACATTACATTGTGTAGATAAAAGTTGTTGACTTATTATAGATAAGTTACAAATCTATATTAGTTTGTGACAAATGAAAGAAAAAAATATTTGGAACTATTAATTATATCTGATTATAATTTAAAAATAGATATACACTGTATTACATCATATATAATTTTCGAGAACTATTACCGGTAATTACATCTTATATTTTTTTCATCATGCTTATAAGATATTGATTGATAATTGGTATATAGTTTTATCATGACAAGTTACAGATCAAGTTCAAATTTTTGTTTCGGTCTAATAATATTGTGCAGAGTTATGGTCCTTGGACTTGAAAAATTCACTCATATAATCAGTTTTCCACACTGTTTTTAGTCATGCTTGAAGATATTGGCATGATATTTACTTTTTGTTTACACCATGACAAGTTATAGAACAAGTTATAGTATAATGAATTTTTACCTGGTAGGGGACTATGTATTGCCATGCAATACTCTCAGAATGCTTGTTTATTGTGTTCTGGTATCGTTACTCGTAACAATACAGTGCCCTCGTAAGAAAGATTGTTGACTAATATCTAGACTTTAATATATTAAAGAGGTTGATGATAAATAATTCATATTCAGTTTCTTAATATAAAAATAAGGAATTGTGGTGTGATTTCCAATGAGACAAGTGTCCATTAAATACCAAAGAAGAAACAGGTGACAGGTCATAAAACATCTTAAAGTGAGTTTCCCAACAAATGAAAAAAACAGGATGATTTGACTGGGTTGGTCAGTTTGGACTGAGAAAGATGTGAAATCCTGATTATGAATAATTGTAAAATTTCTGTTTTAGATTGCTTCAGTTCTTTCTTTTGCAGAAATTTAACCCAGTAAAGAAAAAAACAGTAATTTATAGTTGTGTAAGATATCTATAGTCCTGTTTATTCTTATGCATATGTCTAGTACAAATCACAGGTTTTGTAACAAACTGCACATCTGCCCATTATATCAAAGGAGACATAGGATTAATTATTTATTATGTCTGTTTGTTATTCTCTTTATAAAAATTAGGAGATGTGGTATGTTTGTCAATGAGACAACTATCCATCAGACAACACTAATGACAACCACTGAATTACAGGCATGTAAGATAGAGATGTGATATGTTTGTCAATGAGACAACTATCCATCAGAAAACACTAATGACAACCACTGAATTACAGGCATGTAAAATAGAGATGTGGTATGATTGTCAATGAGACAACTATCCATCAGACAACACTAATGACAACCACTGACTTACAGGCATGTAAGATAGAGATGTGGTATGATTGTCAATGAGACAACTATCCATCAGACAACACTAATGACAACCACTGAATTACAGGCATGTAAAATAGAGATGTGGTATAATTGTCAATGAGACAACAATCCACCAGACAACACTAATGACAACCACTGAATTACAGGCATGTAAAATAGAGATGTGGTATGATTGTCAATGAGACAACTATCCACCAGACAACACTAATGACAACCACTGACTTACAGGCATGTAAGATAGAGATGTGGTATGATTGTCAATGAGACAACTATCCACCAGACAACACTAATGACAACCACTGAATTACAGGCATGTAAAATAGAGATGTGGTATGATTGTCAATGAGACAACTATCCATCAGACAACACTAATGACAACCACTGAATTACAGGCATGTAAAATAGAGATGTGGTATGATTGTCAATGACAACCACTTAATTACAGGCAGAGTTGTCTCATTGGCACTCATACCACATCTTCTTATTAGTCCCCTACCGACGAAGTGGAATGGGACTTTAGGTTTGCACTCCGTCTGTCCGTCTGTCCGTCTATCCATCCGCCAGTCCAGCAAACCAGTTTCCACACTTTTTTTCTTTGTTCTTGAAGATATTGATTTGATATTTGGTATATAGTTTTATAATGACAAGTTATATATCAAGTTCGAATTTTGTTCTGGTCTGATGATTTAGTTCAGAGTTATGGACCATAACTCTTGACCATATCTAATGATAGAGTACTATGTTAAACCATATTTCTGTACAAAGGGAGATAACTCATTTTTTTAAAGACATTCTTTGGTAAATTGCTTACTGAATTACAGGCTTGTTTGTTATTTTGTTTCCACAAATTCTTCTTTACTATTGACTAAAATTCAAAAAAATCTTCATTGCCTTATGTCATTATACACAACCTGTTCTAGTTTTAAATTATTTCTCTACATTTAGGAAGTAGCAACCAGTTTATCATTTTTTATATCCTCCTGAAAAGAGGGGGTATATTGGATTACATCTGTCTGTCTCTCTGTACATGTTTCTGTCCATCCGTTTTATAAAATTTTGGTCACGTTTTACTCACCTGTCGTGGATTGAAACATTCACAGTATTTTAATAACAAATCCACCTGGATTATTTTTTCAATTGTTTAAATTTACTATAAAATTACCATAAAAACATGGACTTTATCATATCTTATTACCTATACAAAGAGAGGTAGACATCTTGTACATCTTCCAAACCACTGACTGATAACCACTGAAGCTTTTAACAAATCTTCATTATTCTTATCCAAATGACCTTTGAGGTTTTTTACAGCCAAACACAGTCTTTGCCATAACTGTACAAGTGATGATAGGTATCTTGAATTGACAACCTGTCCTAAACATGTGCACTGATATAAAATCCTAAACTCTTAGCTGATTTATACTCAAACAGTTCATTATTTTTATTATCAAAGTGTGTTGCTCATTTTTACATCTAAAGGTTCATATGCTTTTTATCTCATTCAGTTGAAGAATACATGACAGAAACTCTCAGAGGCAAATTTAGGGCGGCAGGCCCCCAACCATTTATATATGATAAATGCGTAGACTTTTTACAATTATCACTCAAAATATTGCTTGCTAGCCCCCTTCATGTTTTTATTTATGAAGCATGACTATTGTTAGCTTATCATTAAAGAATTACTGGAGTCCTCCAGGCAGGAGGTGATACATGGTGAGTGAAAAAAACAGTTATCTTACCACAGTTTTTGGAATGTTATATGAAAACAAATAAAATATCTAGCATTTTTTTAAAGAATATCTGTCTGGACATATATAGGATGCATTATGAAAGGGAGATAACTCTTGAAATTACAATACAAACTTAATTATAATTTCAAGACAAATATCTCATAAGACCAAGGAGATTTAAAAAAAGAATTTCATATTTTTCAGTTCTACTATTAACTAAATGAAATAAGCCATACAATCTCTGTGTTATTATTAACCATGTATCGCCTTTTTAATATACTGGACTTGAATGGTTTTAAGATAAAGTTGTACTTTAAAATAGTCATTTAACTTTTGTATTACAGATGTGTGCAGTATGTCTTGAGGAATTCCGAAATTATGAATATATAGCAATATGTAGATGTAAACATTGTTTTCATATGAAGTAAGTTGATATATTTCTCTGTGTGCTTTTTTTAGCTCACCTGGCCCATGAGCCATCTGTGCACTTCTCATCACTTGGCATCCATTGTAAGCTGTTGTCTGTTTCTGTTGTTTATCATCTGTTAGATTTTACAAAAAATTCTCCTCTAAAACTACTTGAATTGGAACCCAACTTTACCACAATCATCCTTAGGTTATCTAGTTTTAAAAATTGATCTAATGATTCTGCTAGCAAATCAATATGTTCTCCATTTATTTATTTTTTTTGCAGAAAACTAAAGTAGATAGAGAGAAAGTGTATTTATCAAAAATGATTAGCATAATAAAATCTACAATTACTTCTACATAGAAGAAATCCTTAGTTAATCCATGGGAGTTAATGCCCTTTAATGACAATTTTAGTCTTGCCTGTGGTGAAATTCCCAGAATTCAAGAAATATGGATTACAATCCGGTAACAGTGTAAACTATTGAGATAGGGCTTTATATTTCAGAGGCTAGAAGACCTGGATGCTTCATACCTTGATCACATTGCATTATGTTACGAAGTTTCATTCTGTCATATGTCCATTGTCCTGGACCTCATTTTCATAGTTCAGGGACTGCTTAAAAAACTGTAAATACAATAATTTAGCCTAAATCTGTGCCTCATATAAATTGCCAATCAACTCCTTATACAAGTTATTCCCCTTGAATGAAGATTGTTAGGCAAATTTCTGTTTATTTGTGAAACTAAAATAGAACGAGAAAAAAACTATAAATAACCAACATGATCAGCAAAATAAGATCTACAAATTAGATAGCATGACAGAAAAAAAGAGACAGAAGATCCAAAAAAGACATTAAATCATCAATAAACTCCTAAGAAGAGAAATTGCCAGTTTTGGGGTTTTTGCCAGAATCAATCAAAAATATTCCTGTTGCATAGTAACAATGTAATACAAAAATGTCAAATGGGTGATACAGCCTTATTAGTGCCTCTATAATTGTGACACAATTATATCATTTCAGTTTATAACTGATTCTATTTTTATGCCCCTGCTGCTAGGCGAAGGGGGCATTAAGTGTTACTCTTGTCCGTCTGTAGGTACGTCCCAAAATTGGTTTCAGTTCTCTTAACTTTAGATTGCCTCAACCAAATATTATGAAACTTACCGGTATGTTTATTACCATAAATCACAGATCAATTTCAAATTTGGGTGGCATCACTTTTGCAGTTCTCTAGTTTTGTACCTTTATAACATTATATTCAAGGGGGCATCATCTGTGTCTCATGGACACATTCTCCATATATTTTCTTTTATAATTCTATATGAGAAGGACTAAAGAAGCAAAACGAACTTATTGTATTCTTTATAAGGTGAAGCACACTTTACAAAAGAAAATAAATTAATTAGCTCACCTGGGCCTGAGGTGCAGTTTGAACTATTACTACTGATCTCTTTTTGAAGCTGTTTTCTGTACATCATAATTGTCACAAGGGTATCTTATTGCATTATAAAATCCAATGATGAGGCTTTGCACAGTAGAAAGTATTTCTGCATAACTGGTACTTGCAGATTGTGTCAATATTATGCATAGATTTCATGTAAGTGATATGGGATCTTCAGCACCTCTTGTAAAAAAAAATTGTAGACAATGAAATTACTTGACTAATAAAACATTAAAATGATCTTAACACAAAGAAAACTCAACCTTGTTTTTTAACTTGATCTCTGAATTATTTTCCAGTTGTTTGCTGCAGTGGTTGAAACATCGTAACTTCTGTCCTATGTGTAAAGCAACTGTACAGAGAGTACCATCAGGTGAAAGATCTAGCTTGATAATAATGCCTCAACAAGCCGTGCCATCTACCAGCAATGAACCTTCTGTAGAAGGAGCACAGAGGGTATAAAAAATGATTACCCATCATAGAGTTTGATTAACAGTTGTTTATCTTATTCCTTATTGCATATACACCTTTTCTCAAACTCTCACCAGATTTTTCCCACTGGTTGATTGTATTTTTAAATTCAACATGTGGTTCATTTGATTCACACTTTTCCATTGGTTAAAATTAAATTATGTAGGCAAACCTCATGTTTTATCTGAATTTTCATATGGGACGTCATGAAAAAAGGTGACCATATCTGATGACGTCACATATAAAGAACACATCTTTTTGTAGATCATTGTAAAATAAAGATAAAGTTTGTCTACATATTGTCTTAAAATCATAAGAGAAACAGATTCCACCTCGGATCTCATGCAATACGATATTTTTCAACTCTCGACAGCTAAATTTTTAATACCTGGGTTGCGTTCAATATTGTAGCAGCTAGTGTAGCCGCTATGTCTAGATATATATCTATGTTGAATGCTATGTTGCGTAGCTAGCCTATTAAAATGACGTCATGAGTAATAATCTATCTGACACCATTTTGGATTTCCTAGATAGCATGAATTTTTTGGGCTAATTGGCGTCTAGGCTAGCTATTCGTTCTTTTATAGTCAAAATCTACATAGCTCTATGTAGCAGCTACACTAACTGCAGTGGTAGAATCTATATACAAACCACTATTATACATATACAAGCAATATGTGATGGATACTTAAAAATTATATAAAAGTAATATACTTAATCTCTACAAATATATGAGAAAAATAGCAGTCTGAACATTTCCTCATGCTTTTATAGCTAAGTGGTTCTAGTTCAAAATTTCTTAGAATATAATGTTCTCTTATTCAATTGTAGTTTTTTCTTAACTGGATACTGTAAACATGGATTTTTTTTTTGTGGGTTGTTATTTTTGCTACATCAATGCATAAACGTTTTGTGATGGAGTCAGATTGGCTCATCCAACAGTTAGTTTCCTCCTCACGTCAATATTGTTTGCACAAACTTTCAGACTGGAAAAATATTTCCAGTTCATTTTAAGTGATCCAGAAATAAGTGAAAATAACCCACATTCAAAATTTTCTCTATTTTTATTTCTCAGCATGTTCAAGCCAAACTGTGATGATTTTGTGTAATTTCTTAATTTTACTGGATTAACTGTCATTGCATGTCTGTTTGACCTTTGTAAATGATCCATTTTAAACAAGAATAAAAATGATGATTTAATATTTTTAAATTCAATTTTCATGCATTTTATTTCAAGTTTAGCCCAAATGATACCTATTCCTTTCTATGGGTGATTTTTGTTTAAAACTTGTGTAAACTGAAATGATATTGATATTCAAGTGAAGAAAAAGAATTTGTCATTGGCTGCATTCAAGCCATTCCAAAGCTATTATCTCATTTTACACAAACAGATACACACACTCCTGTGTGCATTATTTGCTGATGATCTCAACCCCTAGCTGGCCTTTAGTGTACACACCCATCTCTCTAAGAACTGATGTTTGTCTGAATTTGCAGAGTTAGAATGTTGTCAATAATGTTATTAAATTTAATTTGATTCAGAACTATTAAAGTATATGTTATGAATGTAAAAAGTTTTGTACATAAAATTCTAGATGATCCGGTACAAATTAAATTTGCTGGTTGGTCCTTTTTATAGACTTCTGTATATATATATATATATATATATATATATATATATATATATATACAGTATATACTCTGGTGAAAACTACAAGATATAGGATTTTATGCAATTTTTAGTGTCATTGCAATAATAAAAGTGCCTTTAATGATATCAGTATTACATGTACAAATTTGTTTAATGTAAAGTATAAAAAGGTGTTTCTTTTGTAATATCTTGATTTATGGTGTTAAATAATCAATCTGACCAAAAGTAACAATATATTTAAAAATTAAATTTTAAATGGAATATTTTTGATAAGGTTCATATTGACAACAAAACAATGAATTTACACAGCCTTATTTTTATATTATTTAGAAGTATTTGTAAGTCTTCAATTATCAGTGCTCGCTACATACATGTAGCATGCTCTCAAGTTGTGGAGGTTGTGGGTTCCATCACACTCAAGCCGTACAAAGACATGAAAATTGGTATTTGCTGCTTCTCCTCCAAGTATGCAGCATTTAGCAGTACGAGCAAAGACTCTGGATTGTTATCTTGTGAACTTAAGCAGGTTTAAAATCCAGCTCAGTGTATTGGTCTAGTATAAAGCAGCCTCACATGTTCATATTCATAACACATTAACATGTGGTTGTCTTTGATATGCATTTAATTTGCCACTGGAGGTCAAACAGTCAACAATTTTCAATTGTTTATATTTCAATTAATTTTTTCATCATCAGAATTATCATAATATACTTTTACCTCTCAAAATAATGCTCATGTTAAGAATTTAGAGTTATGTTGAAATCTTTTCTGAATGAATTTGTTTCTATTAAATGAGGAGGAGGCTATCAGGCAATCTTTTGGCTCCTTGGATATAAAATCTATAAGTACTAATCTAAATCTATCAACTTTTTCTTTAAAAAAATAAATATTTAAAAATCCTTAAGAAAATTTAATCTATCTGAAAGAAAAATATATTTTTGAAGTACTATTACAGACTTTTTTTAAAGAGGGCATAGAGGGTGTATGCCCCCCTCATTTTAAAAATATAATTTTTTGTCATAAAATTATCAAGAAAATATCCTTTTACAATTTTTACACCCCCTTTTCTTTGAACCCTGGACTTGCACCTGCTTTTGTTTATTTTTTCTCCACAATTTTTACATATAAGTGACCATTATGAAGTAATTTTTTGCGCTGATAAACAAGATAAAGCAGTTTAACGATTGTCTTGTTGATGTAAGTGTTATTAGAATTTTGTACAAATAACTTCAAATCTGGTGCATATTTATTTATCTAGTCTCTCTTAATTTAATCAGCATTAAGTAAATGTGTCTAATACTAGCTGTCTGTATTTGTTACTTAATCATTTGTGTTATCATTATGTTTATAAATTCATAATATTGCATTGTTGATAATTATTCATTTGTATGGTATTCACAGTAAAAGTTATAAAAATAAAACTGTTATAGCATGTTGATATTATAAAACAAAATGGGTTTTTTTTTCAATGGATTCGCATATTACTTTATAATAATTAAAGATTTCATATTTGTTGATAAAGGCAACCATACATGGCACCCATTGAAGGCATGTGCTGCATTGAAGTAGGGCATTTACAATTGCAAGTAGATGAAATTTTCTTTATGATATGTGTTGTTGATTTGTGTAAAACAAAAAAATAAGTGTAGTTCTTGGCTTTCATGTATGGTTGAACAAAACAGATAGTAAGACTTTGCTAAAGATTATTTTAGAGTTTGTTATTGGTTTGTACGAGCAAGTTTAGGATAATAATATACTTTCCTTTTTCCTCTGATGCGATGTTTCAATGTGAGAATCTTTTGATAAAAAAGTGTTTTAAACGGGTAGTTTCTTGCAATTGAAATATTGTTATTGTTGCATTATTAAATTTTTGTTATAAAATTCAAATAATGACAGTGCTCACTCCATTAACAATCGCCAGTTTTATTTAAAAATAGGGCATATTAAGTTATTATATATTCAATTATCGCACCTCGGGTAAAATTAGTGACATTATGATTGGTTTAATGCTATCATGTGGATCCCCTATGGATCTGTATGGGTTCAGTAAATTTCATATGGGGTTCATGATGTCACGTCTACTGTTAATGGTGACATCATCTGCTAATGTTATTGTATTTCAGTGTTTATTTTTTTGGAAAACTTGGCAGGAGAAATCCTTTTTGTGATAAATTCATTATACAGTTCACTACTGACCCCCTACAGATCCATAGAGGATATGGGTTTTACTAACCCTGGAATTTATTCATCATTGAAAACAATATATATATTATGATAAACTGTTTTTCCAATTAAAAATATTTTCACATTTTGTGTCACACTTTCATATGTTGAATCCAGTAAAATGTTTAACAAATATTTCATTTCAGTATACAACAAAATGTATATATAGGTTGATGTAACAGCCAGATATACAATGTATATGATTTATACCAACCTAATAATTTTACTGAAAAAAATATAAAACTTTATATATCCACACTTTTTGGTACAATATCAGATAAACTTTTTTTTTGTGTAAGGCAGAGTGTACTACATCATCTTTATTTACAATTTTCTTACTCTCACTGAACGGATGATAATATTAATGAATTATTACTATAATTTTATCATTTTCCAATGGTATGTTTTGTACAGATGATCTTTAAGCATAAAACTTGGTGTCTAAATTATATTTGCTTTTCTTTTAGAGATGTCCAAAGTGACTTGATTATTGTTTTTGGTGATTGTGTAAAATAAATGAATTATATTTTTATTGTCAAAAATTTTGTAAAAGGTGTTAGTACAATTTATAATGAAATATAACACTCTACAGTTTTGTTTCAATCTTCTCTGTACAATAATATTGCCTATTTCATTAGTTTTTAATTTTTATGGTAGTGTTATTTTGTTATAAATCTTCATTTATGTGTTATATTATTATATGCTAGCAGGGTTGTCTTAAATTGTGTTGATTTAATTTTTGTGACTGTTTAGGATTGTTAGCTGCATGTTTGTATATTTCCACTCCTGCACTCTTTTTTCTCCACATTTACAAGGGTCTAAATCAAAGTACTTACAAAGATCTTAATTGTAAATTAGTTGATCCCTAGTTGAATATTGATAACTGTGGATTCATTAGGATTCGTGGGATACCAATTTACCGTTGTCTTCATGGGTAAAGGAATAACATGAGTTTAAAGGATCAAGGAAATACAAATTATATATAGATTTGTAGGCAGACTTTGTTAAAACTACAAAATCAATTATTCCCCAATTTCAAATGCAATTTTCGCTCAAATTCATGAAAATTAATGAATGCACAGTCTTATTCTTTTTTGGCTATGTTAATATTACTGTCTGTAAGAGTTTAAAAAAAGACTAGAATATAAATAAATTAGTTATTTAAGATAAAAACACAAAATTAGATCTATCCGCAATATATACAATTAAAAAAAAAAAATCAGTTTTCAAATATAGTGCTAGGTACTAGTCTGTTGTAATGTAAAAAAGCTTTTAATTTAAGAATACATATTGGCCATTAATTGTGAATGAAACACCTTACTTGTTTCTTTGATTGGTTATATTTAACGTTTATACATACTGTTTTACTCGGTGCCATTTATAATTGTTACAGTTGTTTTAATTATTGTTGCAAAATGAAGAATATATATTTATATAATAACCTTGCTAATAAAGTATTAAAAATATTTCTTCTTTTCTTCCATATTATGTACCAGACTTCAATTGCAGTTATTTGGTTCTAGACAGTTATGCTGTGTTTGAGGGATGTTGTCCTGACGTCTCTAATCTGTTACCATGAATACAAACACTTCTTTCAGTAGTGGGTATAAGTGGAAAGCTCTTGGACCATTTCCATCCTTTTGTGGTAGGGATGATCATCTGAGACATCCAGTGCCCTACCCTTTTCATATATTTTAAATAACAATATAAGAACAGAGTTCCAATGACCCCTGTGTTGCACATATTTTATCTATCCAAGGTACAAGGGCAATAACTAACAAAAACTTTTTTTTGTTCCATAAAACAATTTATAAATATCTTAGAGAAATGAAGGCTTCAGAGCAAATGCATTGAGACTTCCGTTATAATCATTATTTCCAAGGGGCATAACCTGTTAAAAATATTTGATCAGCACTTATTTTCGAAAGTGTCAAGAATATTGCTGATATACACCTATAATATAAATTTTATAAAAATCTGGCAAGAATTGTACACATCAGAGTGATAACAATAAAATTTTCCATATAATTAATGTCTCCAAGGGGCATAACTCTTTTAAAAATAATTGATCGGCACTGATTTTCAAACTTGTCCAAGACATTGCCAATATAAACTTTCAAATGGTGAGTTGAAATCATCCCTTCGTAAATTTTACGGACGCCATCACAAGTTTGTTGATCGTTTCACAGATAATATCAGATATGTTACTTATGTTGTAACTACAATACCCTTCCCTTTTCACGATGTTGATCTATCATGATTACGATTTTTCATTGAGAGATAAATAGGTTTGACAAATTTCTTGACCTTATATATATAAAGATGTGAAAAGGTGACCTTTTCCAGTGGTTTATCCGTATCATTCATTTCACACATATCCCCTTCCCGAGGTTGAAAGTGTTGTTAAACAAAACAAACTGTAAAACTTTGCTAGGGATGTGGAAAGTTTAGCTCATATGGCTCAAACAATGTAAAAATAAGGTTAGTTTTCAAATTCCATAAAAAAATGATAAAGGGTCATTAGGTACGATTTGGACTAAAATTACAATATGATTTTTTTTCAAACATTTATAAAAGCGGCATTTAGCAATTATATTTTGAAATTAACAGTCAGTTTAGTTCAACCTCATTTTAATCTATATTCATGTAACCTTTCATCTGACCTTAAGTAGAGATGTGTTTCATTCTGTTAACATTGAAAAGTGAAAGGAGGAAGACACCAGGAATAACTTTTTCGTTGGCTGACCCGGCTCTCAACAAATGATTACCGGTATTATACAGGTAAAACAATATTATACATATATTTTTGATTTATAACATGAAATCAAACGGACCTAGAAAATTCATCATTTTACGATTGCATGAGCTTGATGGTCTTTTTATATATATTTATGTTTAAATCGGATTATATTACCTTAGGTGGTCTTCGAAAGGTCATCTCGATGGATATTTAGATTGCATCCGGTCTAAAATACGTACAAATTGCTGATACATTATAACGAGTCCATGCATTGTTGATTAATTATTCGTAGACTTTTTGTAGTTTGAATATACGTTTTAGTATGTTATAAATCAAATATAAGAATTTGAATCAAATTGGTAAACATTAATTTGACAGCTAATACCCCTTTTAGGTAAAGGAACACCTCAAATTTTGTTTACCCCCATACAACGATATTGAATTTGGTTATCTCCGGTCACGCTACAAAGATAATGACTTTTGTTTCAACTCCGAATAAATTAGACATATATATTGACTTTGATTTACCCTGGTCATCTTCACAGATACATCATTCGGTTATCCTTTGTAACCTTACATAGGTGATAAAATGGTAATCTTTGGTCACCTAAAACAGGTATTGATTTTGGCTACCCCTGATCACCAAACACAGATATTGACTTTGTTTAAACTATGATCAGTTAACACAGATATTGACTTTGGTTACTCATGGTCACTTTGCATAGATATTGACTTACAATGGCTACCTTAGTCATACTATAGAGATTGCACTTGGTTATCTTTAGTCACCTTAAACAGACATTGACTTTGGTAATACCTCTGGTCACCTTACACATATGTATCAACTTTGGTTACCTCTGGACACCTTACAAATACCGATATTGACTTTTGTTTCAAATCTGATCAGTTTACACAAATATTGACTTTGGTTACCCATAGTTAATCGTAAACACATCCTAGTTTTAAACTTGGCTTTTCTTGATCGTCTACATAGGCGGATCCAGGGGGGGGGGGGGGGGCCTGGGGGGCCCGGGCCCCCCCTTTTGTGGGAAAATTTGGTTGATTGTATAGGGAATCACTGAGGCATGACTGGAGAGGGGCCCCCCTTACAAAAAGTTCTGGATCCGCCACTGGTCTATGGTATATAATAAAGGCAACAAACAGTAGTATACCTCTGTTCGAAAGTCATAAATCGATTGAGACAAAAACAAATCCAGGTTACAAACTAAAACCGAGGGAAACACATCTTCTTCTTCTTCTTCTGGTATACAGTTTACAGATTCATTTATATTGAAGATTACGAACTGTTGCATGCGCGGAGTATATGATTAAAATTATATATGAACAATTTATCTTTAAATTTGTAGAATACTTGGTGATATTTACATGAAACAAAGACAACAGACTCAGTGATTAAAAATATGTACATTGGTATTTATAGAATTAATTTATGTTGTGGAGAACAGTTGGTGTCAACTGATCTCTATAGGTTTCAAATGTTTGACATGCTACTACAACTTGTGGTTACATGTTCCATTGGATGATTGTTTGCGGAAAAAATGACCATTTGTAACTGTCTTTAGAGGTGGATATTTGCCGAAATGTTTGGGTATGTAATTTTCTTGTTCTAGTATCTGATGGTATAAGGACTAGTGATGGAATTGCGATGAGTCCATGTATGACTTTGTAGAACATAATTAGTCTGGTTTTGAGGCGACGCTCAGTGAGTGAGGGCCATTGTAGTTCGTTTAACATGGATGTAACACTACTGGTGTTGTGGTAGTTGTTACATACATAACGGGCCGCACGCCTCTGTACCATTTCTAGCTTATTTTTATATTCTGCTGTGTGTGGATCCCATAAACTACAGGCATATTAAAGTTTTGGTCTCACTATGGATTGGTATGCACGGGATTTGATATTGGTGTTTGATACTTTTAAGTTTCTCCTCAGAAAGCCAAGAGATTTATTTGCATTTGATATGATGTTGTAGTGATTGTTCCATTCAGTTTAAGTTAGACTGTAAGGTTACGCCGAGATATTTTGCTGATGTCACTGGTTCTAAAATATGGTTATGCAGAATGTAATCGTGTTTGAATGGTTTCTTTTTCTGTGTGATGGTTAAAATTGTGCATTTACCTGGATGGAAGGCCATGAGCCAATCAGCCTCCCATTTAGCTGCTGCATTAAGATCTGTTTGTAGTTTTGTGCAGTCTTGTTGACATGTAATTTCTCGGTATATAATGCTATCATCAGCGAAGAGTCGTAATTTGCTGTGTTCAAGGTATTCTGGAAAATCATTAATGTAAATTAAAAAGAGTATAGGCCCAAGGACAGATGTAACTGGTGCTGTATTTGATGTTATTCCATAAAATCAACTATAAGAGGAAAACAACGAAACAACAGAAACACTGAAGTGAACAAAATACAAACGACAGTGCAACACACACAGAAACGAACTATACGATAACAACTGCCATTTTCCTGACTTGGTACAGGACATTTTAAGAAAAAAAATGGTGGGTTGAACCTGGTTTTGTGGCTAGCCAAACCTCGCACTTTTATGGCAATGTTAAATATAACACTAAAATGACACCAGGCTACACCGATATGCCAGTAGGTGACGTTTGGTCCCCTAACATTTAAAGATATTAACTGAATGTAATTTTATCGAGTATGATTATTCACTGTATTTTTTTTTTATTGTTAACAAGTCATGAAAGATATTTTAATTAAAGCATTTCTGGAAGCTATTTGGACCAAATGGACAGGAACTTCTGATGAGTATGTGGAGCAGTCTATGGACATACTTTGTTCGTATCAGACTTGCAGTACTTTCAAACAAACTAAAGTCAGACGATCAGATTTGATAAATAGTACATCATGGAGTTTGAACTGGCAAACAGTGTCATGAGCATGTTACAAGGAAAATGTCTCCTAATTACCAAAATAATTTTAGTAACTTCATATTTATCCTCATAGATAGTTTCTTATAAATTAATTAATCACTTAATTAGGTCATAATATTTAAACTCACTTATTCTGCAAAAGACTACAGAAAAGGACGATGAATGTGGTATGCATTGACTTGATTTTTAAAATAAATATATATCATAATGGATAATGAAAGAATGTTTCTGCTAATGCTGTTGGTAATTTATTTGATCTATTAACACTTTATGATTACTTTTCACAAAATGACCAACTTGACTTGATTGAAACGTACATTAATTTGTTTTATCTTTCTGGTTTTAATGTGGAATGATATGGAAACTGTTTTATGTGTTTTTATTAATTTTTAGTTTGTACAGGACTATCAATGACATTAAATTCAGAAGAACAGGTTCAATATACATCGTGGTTTCAGCGAGCATGAGAAAATTGTATCAAATACATTTCCATCACTTAACAGAATAAATCAATATTTTCTGTGTTCAACATATCTTTTGTATAAACTGTACTGTTAATTATTTATCCAAGAAGACCAAATATGAAACTTGATGGGTCTACTCTTAACAATATATGTATCATGACATTTAAATGTATAAATGGGTCATACAAGTTTACCAGTTAGTTCCACTAACTCGTTGTGATCAAAATACTCATATAATACAGTTCCGTATAAGTAGGACTATTCCATTAACAGTTGTCTTTTTCCAAGAGAACACTTTGAAATTTGAGGAAGCGGTAATATTTAATTAAACTTAGTGGCTACACATGTGAGTG